CTGATCATTTTACTCCCCCACTCAATGTGCTCCAGGGGCTCCCTATGGCCTCCAGGATCAAATACAAAATGCTCTGCTTGGCATTCAGGGCCCTTCATGACCTGCTTCCCTCCTACCTCTCTAGTCCTCTTGCACCAAGCTACCCCATGTGTCCTCTTCAACCCAATGACCCTGGCCTCCTGGCTGTTCCATGAATGAGACCCCCGAATCTTGGCTCTGGCATTGTCCCCAGCTGTCCCCTGCCTGTCACTGTCCCTCCTGGTGCCAGCCTCCTGGCTCCCCTGGCTTCAAGGCCCCACTAAAATTCATCTTTTTTTTTTTAAGTGTTTTTTCTTTTTTTTAAAATTCCATCTTCTACGGGAAGCCCTCCCCCTCTCTCTGAATGTCGGCGTCTTCCCTCTCTGCGTCGTTTCCTTTTCATCCTGTCCATAGCTTGCTTGTACACATTTGTCTGACTGTTGTCTCCCCCATGGGGAGGATTGTGAGGTCCTTGAGGGCAAAAACTAGCATTTGCCTCTTTGTACCCCTGGTGCTTAACACGTGCTCGGCACACAGGAGGCATTTACTAAGTGTTTGTTGACCGACTGAAAGCACTCTATAAGTATTATCTCACTCCATCCTCACATCAATCTTAGGAGACAGATGTTATTTTTGTCCCCACTTTCAAGATGGGAAACAGAGGCAGACAAAGGTTAAATGGCTTGCCCAGGGTCTAAGAGCTAGCAAGTATGAGAGGCTAGATTTGAACTCAAGTCTTCCTGATTCCAGGTCCAGAACCCTATCCACTGCACTGTGAGCAAAATGCTCATGATATTGTGGCAAGAGAATGTCTGGTTCAGGCCTCTCACTGCCTCTAGAGAAAGAAACCCTGAAGCCTAGCAGCAAGAGATGGAAAGGGAAATCCCATTTAAAGTAACTGCAGACAATATAAAATACTTGGGAGTCTGCCTGCCAGGACAAACCCAGGAACTCTAGGAACACAATTACAAAATGCTTCTCACACAAATAAAGACAGTTCTAAATAAGTGGAAAAACATCAGTTGCTCATGAGTAGGCCAAGCTAACATAATAAAAATGACAATTTTACCTAAATTAATTTACTTATTCAGTGCCATACCAATTAAGCTACCAAAAATTATTTTATAGAGCTAGAAAAAATAATAAAATTTTTCTGGAAGAACAAAAGGTCCAGAATATCAAGGGAATCAATGAAAAAATGCAAAAGAAGGTGGCCTAGCCATTCCAGATCTTAAATTGTATTATAAAGCAGCAATCATCAAAACTGCTTGGTACTGGCTAAGAAACAGAGTGGTGGATCAGTGGAGTAGGTTAGGTAAGCAAGACACAGTAGTCAATGACTATAGTAATCCACTGTTTGATAAATCCAGAGACTCCAGCTGCTGGGAAAATAACTCACTATTTGACAAAAACTGCTAGGAAAACTGGGAAAGGAACTAGGTATAGACCAACATCTTACACTATATACCAAGAGAAAGTCAAAATGGGTATGTGATTTAGACGTAAAGATACTATAAGCAAGTTAGGAGAGCAAGGAATAGTTTACCTGTCAGATTTATGGAGAACAGAAAAATTTATGACCAAATAAGAGAGAACATTATGAAATGCGAAATGGGAAATTTTGATTACACTAAATTGGAAAATTTTTGCACAAACAAAGCCAATGCAACCAAGGTTAGAAGGGAAGCAGAAAGCTGGGAAACAATTTTTACAGCTAGTGTCTCTGATAAAGGCCTCATTTCTCAAATATATAGAGAACTGAGTCAAATTTATAAGAATACAAGTCATCCCCCTCTTGATCAATGCTCAAAGGATATGAACAGGCACTTCTCAGAGGAAGAAACTGAAGTTATCTATAGTCATATGAAAAAATGCTCTAAATCACTATTGATTAGAGAAATGCAAATCAAAACAACTCTGAGGTACCACATCACAACTATCAGATTGGCTAACATGATACAACAGGACAATGATAAATGTTGGAGAAGATGTGGGAAAATTGGAACATAAATACATTGTTAGTGGAATTGTGAACTGATCCAACCATTTTGGAGAACAATTTGGAACTATGCCCAAAGGGCTCTAAAACTGTGCGTACCCTTTGACCCAGCAATAGCACTTCTAGGGCTATATCCCAGAGAGATCATGCAAATGGAAAGAGGACCCACATGTACAAAAACATTTATAGCACCTCTTTATGTGGTGGCCTGGAATTGGAAATTGAAGGTACACCCATCAATTGGGGAATGGCTGAACAAGTTGTGGTATATGAATGTAATGGAATACTATTGTGCTAGATAAATGATGAACAGGCTGACTTCAGAAAAACCTGAAAAGACTTGTATGGTCTGATGCTGAGTGAAGTGAGCAGAACCAGGAGAACGTTGTCACAGTAACAGATACATTGTGTGATGACTGACTTTGATAGACTTAGCTCTTCTCAGGAATACAAAGATCTAAGACAATTCCACAAGACTCATGATAGAAAATGCTATCCACATTCAGAGAAAGAACTATAAAGTATGAATGCAGATTGAAGCATACTATTTTATCTCTTTTTTTTCTTTCTCATGATTTTCCCCTTTTGTCCTGATTCTTCTTTCACAAAATGACTAATGTGGAAATATGTTTAATATGATTATACATGTACAGCCTATATCAGATAGCATGCTGTCTTGGGGAAGGGGAAGAGGAGGGAGGGGGGAATTTAGAACTCAAAATTTCACAAAAGCAAATATTGAAAACTAAAAATAAATAAATTAATTTCAAAAACAAAAAACAAAAAACAAAAACAAAAACAAAAAGAAACCCTGGCTCAGTAGCTGCACACATTCCATCTTTAAAATCCCCCTCCCCTTCCAGGCCACCAGGCTTTGGCAGCCAACCCTCTCAGGGTGGGCTCTGGGCTTTGGGGCTGGGATCACTTAAGAAGAGCCTTCCCCCTCTGCCAGTTTTCCACTTTGGGTGGGACACGATGAACAGACTTGGTTGGGTTAGCAGAGACTGCAGATGCTCTTCCATGATCTTCCTTCCCAACTGATCCAACTTCTAAACTCCTCTGTTCCTGTGGAGGGCACCCTCCTCCTCCAGGCACCCAGGCTCACTCTCGGGTCGTCCCCAGTGCCCCACCAATCTCGATGGCTCTGCCCCTTTGTCCGCTCTCGGATCCACCACTCAGGGTGGGTCTCTGCTCTGCTCTCAGTTGTCGCTTGCTTGGGCCTTCTTCTTGGTCTCTCTGGCTAAAATCTCCATTCATCCTCCAGTCAGCTGCCAAAGGGCTTTTCCTGAAGCACAGGCCTTGATTGTGCCCCCTCACCCACTCAATAATCTCTAGGATGGAGGATTGTTTCATTTTTATCCTGTCCTTTATAGTTGCTATTTTTTGTGTAAGTTTTATTATGCGTGTGTATGCTTATTAGCAAATGTGTGTAATTTAAGGATAAGTAAATGTGCACCCATTGAGGCTTATGCTAAAAAGTGCTTTTCCAGCTGGGGTGTGCAATCTGAAAGCTTCAGAGCTCACGGCCCTGGGGGAGGACTGGCCAGTGTGTTTCTTCCTTGAGTTCTCACCTATGCTTTGGCCCTTCTGGGTCCCTACTGCCCTTTGCTGCCAAATTGGCTGGGATTGGCGCTTAGTTTTGAGGTGAGAAAAAGATTGCCCTGACCCGCCCATCCCTTTCTTGTCTTCTCGTGCTCAAGCCAGTGGTGGCCCCAGTACTGTCCCACCTCTCCTGAACGAATGGTGAAGCCCTCTGGCCCTCTGGCCCCATTGCTGATGCTTCTGAAAAGGAAGGATGAAAAAATGTTCTCAAAGATCCAGCAAGTTCAGGACAGCAGAAGAGAGGAGGTGGGGGACAGTGTGTGTGTGCCATGAGGGGTGTTGCCGAGTTCTTGAGCTTGTTTGGCTTCAGGGACACCCCCTCCCAAGCCCCAAGACTGGGAGCGGCCGGCACGTGTCCTTTAAAGTCAACAGAGCATTTGGGGGGACATTTTAACAATGATATGCCATCCACTGGAACTGCAGAATCTCAGGGGTAGAGGGGACCTCAACGGCCATTCAGTCCAGCCTGTGCTTGACCAAGAATTCCGTCTCTATCATACCAGACATGTAGACCCTGCTCGAAGCCCAAGTCAGTGGGCTTCCCCATTCATTCCCTATTCACTCGATGAGTTCCTCCTTCCAAGGGAGCTGGCCACCTCCAGACACAGCCCCATCCCCCAGCTCTTTTTTAGCTCTGGCTGTGAGAAAGGTCTTCCCGAAATGGAGACTAATATGGAGCCGCTCCTCCCCTAACCCCTCCCCACCACTGCTGCTGGTTCTGCCCCTGGAGACCCCCTAGCCCATGGCAGGTGAAGAGCATTGGTGCCTGCCTCTATGGGGCTCATTATGTCGCTTTGAAGAGAAGATTCCTGGGGGGAAGAGGAAGAGGGAAGACAGCTGAGAACCCCAAGTGGCCAGTTCCCAGGGCCTAGTTTATTTCAGGCCATGTACATTAAGCACCTCCAGTGTGCAGCCTGCTGTGGCTTCAGAGCACGCGGTCCTGCCCTCAGGGAACTTCCAGTCTAGAAGGGGCAAGGACAGCTGCCCAATGAGAGTACCAAGTAGGATGGTGCTTTCTTCAGTGCCCAGGACAGTCCCAAGGGAAGCGTGAGTCACATTGGGAGAGAGGGTGTCACTCCCTTCCAAGGCCCTGGGGAGGGCCCCAAGGCAGTGAATGTAGAATTGGGCATCGGTGGGGAAGGATGGACCTGTATAGGGACATGGGGAGTGGGCTGTGGGGGGTCAAGCCTCCTCTGCAGGAGGTGTGAAGTGTGGCATCGTCTTCTGCAGGCCTCAGTCTTTAGAGGAGGAGACACGGGCTGCAATGGGGAAGTGGCTGGCCTGGCTGGCCCCTCCCGCTCCTCCCGCCCCCAGGAGTGTGCAGAGAGCTCAGCTCCCAGAGCCTGTGGCCAGGCTGCTGCTCTTGAGGTTTCAGGGACCACAGGAAGTGCCTGAGGCTGCTGAGGCAGTGGAGGCTGCCGCTGGGGCCCTGGGGGGCAGATGCGTCTGCTCTGCGCAGGGGTGACATGGAGAGCCCTGGCCCAGGAGAAGCCTCCCACCTGAGAGCCCAGCCAGCCCCTCCTCTTTATGGAACAGCTGCCTCCCAGGCATGGCCAGAGCCGCAGGGGCCAAGCGGTGCCCCAAGCATCCCCCGCTGCAGGGCTTACGGGGCTGTGGCCATACTCTGCTATATCAACCTGCTCAACTACATGAACTGGTTCATCATCCCAGGTGAGCTGGCCGGGGAGAGGAGGGAGGGAGGCCCGGAACTCGTCCATCTGTCCATCTGTCCGTCCGTCAGTCAGTCAACAAACAGTTGTTCAGCACCTTCATGCTGTGCTAAGCATGGGGCACACAGCAAGCAAACCCACCCTCCTTTCCTGCCACAAAGGAGTGAGCAAGTGGTGGTGTGGTGGACCGAGGGCCAGGCCTTAAGCCAGGGAGACCTGGGTTCAAATCCAGCCTCCGACACTGTGCACCTCAGTCCGCCTCAGTTTCTTCATCTGTAAAATGGGGATAACAATGTGGAATAACCCACCTCCCAGGGTTGTTGTGAAGGTCAGATGAGAAAATGGTTGTAAAAGCTCTTAGCCTAGGGCCTGGCACATAGTAGGGGTGCTATAGAAATGTTAGATGTTACGATTAATTAATGGGATTTATAAACAAGCTGACTGGACAGAGTGAATTGGGTATCTGGTGCCGAGAGGGGCATGTGATGACTGAATGAAAATGCATTTATTAAGCACTTACTGTATATATAACACTGTGCACACATAGCATACCTACTGGATACCAAACCCTGGGGAGAGCAGAGGAAAGGAAGCCAGTCCTGCCGAGGCTCTAATGAGAGCTTCCAATCAGCTGAGATAGAAAGGCCCCAGGGTCCTTGGAGCAGAGGCAGATCAGCAGGCTGGGCCTACAGGCCATCCGTCTCTGAGGCTGACCCCTGGACAAGCTGTGCCCAGCTCCATCTCCATGGACAAGGGCCTTAGGCCAGGCTAGAAGCAGGGCTTGTGACTGATGCGGGGTGGGGAGGATGCTGGACCTGGACGAGACTAGGTGACTTGGGGCTCTGGGTGAGCCTGTGGGTCGTAGCAAAGGATCTGACCTGGTCAAGGGAAGCAGGCCTTTCTCCAAGGCCAGGAGCTCAGCCAACGAAGATGAGTGCGGCCAGCTTTTGTTACTATAATCAAGATAATGAGGCAGCTCACAAGAAGCGTTTTCGGTAGCAGCACTTGGGGCCGGCAAAGTACTTTACACAGACACCATCATAAATCTCACTCGGGCCTCACAACCCATGAGGCAGGAAGTCATTATACCCATTTTACAGAAGACAAAACAGGCAGAAAGGGCTCCAGGATGGGGGCCAGTCACGTACGCAGAGTATGAGCTAAGGAAGCAAGGTTTTTGTTATCTGACAAAGCTTCCTGTTACACATTTAGACGAGGCTGGGCAAGTCAGCCTCATCACAGGGGACTTGTTCAAGGTCTCACAGGCAAAGCATGGTACCACTGGGATCTGAGCCCAGGTGCCTCGGACCTGGACTCCAGACATGCCACCATGACATCCCGCGGGCACTGAGCTAGGCTCCGGGAAAAAGGACGAAGCCCTGCCCACATCAGGATTGTGTCTGACGGATTTCTTATTCAACTCCTTGATGATGGGATTTTAAGGGCCCTCTCCTGAAGGGGAACCATTCCTCAGTTGTTGAAGGCCTGGCTTTGTGCCAGGCACTGTGCTAAGTGCTGGGGACATGCATTTAAAAAAAGACAGGGCCTGCCCTCAAGGAGCTTACTGTCTAACAGCAGAGAATGCTAAAAGGCAGCTGAAGGCGTGGCAGGCAGTGCGGGGGAGGAGGCAGGACAGAGTCCAGTCCATAGGCGCACACGCCAAACTGGCAGGGAGCCAGCCCTCTCCTCTGCCCTCCGCTCCCCACCCCTTCAATCAGCTGGCAGAGGGTGCTGAGCAGGATCCCAAGGAGCAGCTGATGGGAAATGGGAGGGCCGGGAACTCCTGGGGTCCCAAATTCTCCCTGGGATGCAGGCACAAAGAGATTCCTGAGGAGCTGGCCTGCATCTGGGGCCTGCCCCTTACCTAGAGCCCTGGGAGATGCCCAAGAAGGCGCTAGTCAGACCTTCCAGTCTTCCTCACCAGCGCTGACACATTCAGGAAACAACAGTGCTTCTAGAACAAAATCCCACCAGCGATGGGGACTGGGGAGTCTAAAGCCTTCTATGGGGTGTGTGTGTGTGTGTGTGTGTGCGTGTGGCTATGTGCATATGTGGCATATGTGTGTGTTTGTACGTGTATGTATGAGTGTGTGCGTGTGTGCATGTGTGTGGTGTATGTGTGTGTGCATGTGTGGTGTATGTGTGTGCATGTGTGAATGTGTCTATGTGCATACGTGGCATATGTGTGTGATTGTGTGTGTATGGGTGTGTGTGTATGAGACAGACAGAGACAGAGACGGAGAGGGCCCAAGGGAGGATCTCCAGGCACCGGCCAGCGGCTGCCTCCATTTGCCCACTGGCCTCTTGGTTTGCAGGGGTGCTCCTGGACATCCAGAAGCATTTCCGCCTCAGTGACTCAGAAGCTGGCTTACTGCAGACAGGTAAGGGGGGTGCCGCCCAGGCTGGGGGGAGGGGCTGGGCTCACCTCCATCTCTGCCTCTGTTGCTCACATGTGGCCCCCTCTCCCACTGCTGTCTTTGACACCTGCCCTTCTTGGTCCTTGCCAGCATCTCTAGCTCCAGGCTTTGGGGACGCTGTTGGGGGATGGCAGAGTGTGGGTGTCTTCCAGCTGAGCCCCCTCCCAAACTCTTTTGACCTAGCGCTTCCTGCTGGGCAGGAAGTGGGCACTGGGGGCCTTCAGATGTCAGCAGGGCCATCTGGCCTACGGGCCGTCTCTGCCCAAGCTCGGGGTACCACCAGCGGCCAGAGGCAGACTGCGGGCCGTGGCAGGCCTGTCCTCCTTTGAGGTCATTTCTGGATCTCGTGCCAGGGAGCAGTGCTGCTCAGCCCAGTTGGCAGCAACCGTCCTGCTTTATCAGGGGTGAGGAGCTCATCAGCCTGGCCCATCTCTACAGGCTTGGCCTCTGACCACACCGGCAGGCTGCGGTCAGACGGGAGATAAGGCTGGTATGAGGTTGCTCAGCGTCTCGATTCTCCTCTGCCCCCTTTTCTCAGGCCAGGTGCCAATGCAGGGGGTGGGCACAGAGGGAGGGGGGCCCAGCTGAGGCCAGCCTCAGGACCAGAGCTGGAAATAGGGGCAGTGACCAGAACTCAGCCCTCCTCTCCTCAGGGAAGGGTCTAAGCCCTTGCTCAGCCAGAACACAGGGACCCATATCCCACCAGACCCCGAGGTCTGGCCTTGGGGGTCACTCAGGCTGCCTTCTGTCTCTGTCTTTCCTGAGCTGTGGGGTTAATCCTAACCCTAAATGCGTCCAGTTCTGGACCCACGGTTAAAGAGCTCAAAGGCATCGTAAGAACAGCCCTAAAGGGGAAGGGGAACCGAGGAGCAGGGTGCAGGTATTTGGAGGAGGGCGAGTACCATGCAGGTGCCCCCAGGGCAGGAAGAGCAGCGAGGTACCAAGGCATGGTCTGGATGGACTTCATTCTCCAGGAACATGGGAGTTACTGCTACTGTAGGGCTCCCACGGGAAAGGGACTGCTTCTTGAGGTTTTAGGTTCCCCAAGCCCAGAGAGGAGCAGCACTAGGCTGAAGGCCAGTACGGATTTCTGGGCTGATGGTCAGGGGCACTCACTGGAATGTTGGGAGCTGGCCCCCGGAGCAAGCCAGAGCTACGTCCTTTCCAATTGGAGGCCAAATCTGAGGGGCTGTGTAAATGGGGCGGTCGGGAAGATCGGAGTTCAGATCTCAACCCCAGACACTTAGCCAGCAGTGGGACCCTCCTGGGAGCGCTTATCCCCGCTTGCCTCAGCTTCCTCATCTGTAAAATGGGGAGAAGAACCTCTCCTCCCTCAGGGGTGTTGTGAGGATCAAACGAGATCATATTTCTACAGCCCTTGGAAGCACTATGGAAAAGCTAGCTGGAAGGGACCCAGCGGAGGGAGAAGTGGACTGCTCGTTCAGGGGCTGCTGTGCGTTTTATGGGGTGAAACGCGTGCAGTGCTGCGAGGGAGGTGGGGAGAGCCAGGCATCCGCTACATTTGAGCTACGGCCTGAGCTCAGAAAGAATGGGGGGAGGGCATGAACTAGACTCAGAAGCCATCCCCACGACCGAGCCGAATCCGTGTAAGCCTGGGGTCCAAGGTCTGGGCTGGCTAAAGGAGCAGGTGTGAGCTCCCAGGCTTGGGAAGTGCTGCAACCCCGACCGGCTAGTAGAGGGCCGGACGCCAAACCGTCAGCATGCTCAGGTCCCCTGTTGGCTGAGTGACAGCTGACCAGCGGCTTCTCTGAGGAGCCGGGCTCTCCCCCCGCCCTCCCCGCCCCCTTCATCCCTACAGCCCCGCCCCCCGCCCCCGGGGCTCTTCCACTTCTTCACCTCCCTTGGTCAGCCAGGCGCTGCTCCGGCCCAGGGGGCGGTGCCGATCCTCCCCAGGCACCCTTTCCTCTCCACTGTCCCAGGGATGGGGAATGGGGACCCCGGAGCCGGCCCTCCTCAGAGGGAGCCTCAGGCTTGTCTACTTCCCTTCCCTGCAGTGTTCATCTCCGGCCTGCTGCTGGCCGCTCCCCTGTTTGGCTACCTCGGAGACCGCTACAGCCGGAAGGTCACTCTGAGCGTCGGGATCGTCCTCTGGTCCAGCGGGAGCCTCAGCGGTTCCTTCCTCCCGGGCCGGGTAGGTACCTGCGCGCCCTGCAGAACCCAGACCACAGCAGCCGTTGCCGATTTCTCCACTTCCTCCTGGGGGAGTTGGGAAAGACTTAGCCTAGCGCTAGGCCAGCTGGGGCTGTCCCTTCCTCCCCCTCGGCTCACACCTCTCCCTAGCCAGGCTTTTTTTGCGACAGCCCTGGGGGTTGGGGGCCGCCCTGTTTGTAACCTCTCGGGGTCCCCGGTCCTGAAAAACACAGATCTGGACGGTTTTCTCTGCGAGAAGAATCCGTGGCAGAACCTTGGGCCCATCTGTCTCTAGTCAAGCTCATCAGTCTGGAGAGACCATTAAGATCATGGCCTTCATTTTGCAGATGAGGAAACTGAGGCTCCCAGCCCTAAGCCTTCCCTTCCTTCCCTGCCCCCTCTCAGAGGCCCAAAGTCCTTTTGCTGCCTTCTGACTGACCAAAGGGTTAAGTGACCAGCCCTCTCCCAGTCCAGGCTCTGACCTGAGAAAGGACTGAGCTCTGGTCTCAGGAGACCCAGCCTTGGATGGAGACAAAGGCCCTCCCCCGAGACTCCTCTCCCCAGTACATCCTGAGAAGGTCTCAGGGAGCCTGGGAGCTGCCAGGGATGGGTGGGAAGTCTTCCTTTCTGTCACTTTCAGTGACCTGAGGGATAGGAATTCCTTTTGGAGAGGAAAGAATTATCTTAGGATCAGCTCAGAAGAAAATTGTCAGGCAGAGGTTGAATTTCCTTTGGGGATATACCCTGGCAGAGTACCCCCTCTGCACATTTGCTGGCCCTTTTTTGCTGGCCCCCTTCCCTCCTTCCTTCCTTTCTCTTACCTCTCTGCCTCCCCCCACCTCAGATCAATGGAGGAAATTGTAAAAGCACATAGGAGACTCTATAGGCCCTGCCTCCCCTCCCCCTTCTCTCCCCCCCTCCTCTTTCCCCTCCCTTCCTCCTCTCCTTCCACCTTCTCTTCCCCCTCCTTCCCCTTCTCCTCTCACCCCTCCCCTCTCTGTTTTCTCCCCTCCCCTCCATCAGTCTCCCCTTTCAGAAGCCCCCTTAGCTCCTTCTCTTTTCTCTCTTGTTCCAGGTCCCCAGTAGCTGACTTTATTTCTTGCTTTCTGGTCCTGATAACTTTTTTTTTTTTGCAAGGCAATTGGGGTTAAGTGACTTGCCCAGGGTCACACAGCTAGTAAGTGTCAAGTGTCTGATTTGAGACCGCCTCTATCTACTGTGCCATCTAGCTGCCTCCTTGGTCCTGGCAACTTTTAACCAAGGTCAACCGATAATTGTGTCCTACTCCCATATTTGCATTGTAACAGAGGACTCTTTGACACCCAAAAGAGTAAAGCTATGATGGTGGAATCCCAGGCAGTTTGTGGGGGATGGGTCTGGTGAGAAAGGCCAGGAGACTTGAGTTCCACACTCATCTCAGTCACTAATTTTCTGGGTGACTTCAGACAACTCATACGCCCCTTCCGGGCCTCAATTTGGACAAGTTTCATCCTTCCTCATCTAAGAATCCTTGGCCCATCCTGCTAGGAGAGCTTCCTTCTCACTCGACCTTGGGCAAACCTCTTTACTAGTGGACTGCTCTGTCCCCCCAGGGCCGGGCCTCATTCCCACTGGTTCTGACTCCTCAGAGGCTGGGAAGGCACCCATGGGGGCAGGGCAAGCTTTTTGCCTCTTTCTGCCTCTCATCTCAGACATCTCTTACCTCCTCGGTGACTCTACTTCCTCCTCCTCCCCCTCTTCTGGAAATAACACATCCTGGGCTGGGCTGGGGGGACCCTGGAGGAAGGAAGGCCTGGGCATGGGGGATCCCTGGGTGACCTTGGCCACGTTCTTGCCCCTCTCCGGGTCCCTTGATGTGCCAGAGAGCAGAGGGAAGAGAGCACAGTCCTTGGGGATGTGAAGGCAATTTGGTCATTGGCTGAGATGAGCAGAGGGTCCCTGAGTCAGAGCCAGATGAGGCCTTGGAGCCCATCAAGTGCAGCCCCTCCTGTGACCGAGGGGGGAAACTGAGGAGGCCCAGCCACAGAGAGGGTCTTGTCCTAGGTAGCAAGTGTCCAAGCCAGGATTAGAACCCAGGTTTCCACACTGGATGTCAAGCTGCTGGTCAATGGGAGTTCCTGCAGTGGAGTGGACTGCGTTGTGAGGGTGGTGAGCTTGCCTTCCCTGGAGGGCTTTGAGCAGAGGCAGGTGCAAGCTTGGCAGGAATGTTCTGAGGAGATCCTGCTTCAGGCTGGGCCTGTGTCTCTGAAGCAGGTCCCTGCCAGACCCAGGACAGGCAGCTTGCTTTTCTAGAATGACTCCGAAGACCTTGCCAGGGCCCCCAGAGCTCCCCCACCCTGCTGGCTGCAGGGGACTCCTGAATAAGAGTTCACATTTTAAGGTTTTTGAAGCACTTTATAAGTATGAATCCTGGGAGGTAGATGCAGATGGGAAACTGAGGCAGTCAGGTGAAGTGACTTGCCCAAGGTCATGGTGGCCAAACTTGGCTTCAAACCCTGGACCTGGGACTCCAGAGCCCTTTTATCTTCGTTCTACTCCGAACTCCTTCAGGTGGGAGCTGAGTTGTTCTCCTTGGGTTCCAGCTGCCAGGCTTGTTCCTGCAGTGGTTGATGAAAGATTTTCCTTGGTTCCCCAGGCTGGACCAGGGCCCTGGAGGAGTCAGCTGCCATGGTCCTTCTCCCTCCCCAGGCCTGGCTGGCCTCTCCCTACCCCACATCTGCCCAGGGGCTGTCCTTATCCTCCAGGTGACCAAATCCCACCATGCCTCCCTCAAACCTTGCCCTCCCCCAAAGCTCCATGTGGCAGCATCCTCTCTCCCCACCTCATCTCCTTCCTCCAGTGTTCTCTCCTCTTCTTCCCTCCCTCCTCTTTCTCTTCCCTCTAGTGTCCTCTCTTCCCCTTCCCCTGTTCTCCTCTCCTCCTTTTCTTCCTTCCATGTTCCTCCTCCTTTTTCCTTCTGCTGAGCGCTGCTGCTAAAAGGAGGCGTCTAGTTAAACCCATCCTGGAGCAGCTTTACCTGTTCAGCCCCCTAGACCTGAAGGAGCAGATTCCTACCCTGAGGGAGGGGGGACACCCTCCTCTCAGCCACCTCTGCCGTCCCCCTGCCCTCAGGCAATGGGGTGGGACTTACCCCAATTCGGCCAACAGGTGAAACCCAGGATGAGGCTCTGGGGACAAGGTGCTCTGAAGGACTTTCACAGGAATAGGGGCCAACTTTGTCCTGCTTGACCCCAAGGCAAGATGGGGAGGGGGAACTGTAAGCAAGCAGGTTTGGTCTGGAGGTCAGAAACTATCTGCCAGCATGGAGAACTGTCCCTCTGGGGGAGGGGCTGCCGGGGGAGGTGTTCCCCCCCCCCACCCCGGGGTGCTGAGATTGCAGGAGCTCTCAGGAGAGCTATTGTGAAGGGAAGCAGGCTGCCTGCCTGTGGTGAGTTCCCCATGCCTGGAACCCTTCAGAAGGGATATCTGTCCAGGGCTGGGCTGGAGTAGAGCCCTGGAGCTCCCAGGATTCTGAACCCTTCCTTTTCAGGCCCCAGAGCTCCCAGGATTCTGAACCCTTCCTTTTCAGGCCCCAGAGCTCCCAGGATTCTGAACCCTTCCTTTTCAGGCCCCGGAGCTCCCAGGATTCTGAACCCTTCCTTTTCAGGCCTCGGAGCTCTCAGTGTTTCAGGCCACTGTGAGGCCAAATCCGTCTGGAGGAGCCCTGAGGGAAGGGCTGGTAGATGTGGGGAGCGATCACTCCACCGGGAAGGTGCAGGCTCTGAGCAGAGGCCCCATCAGTGGCCCTGGAGGCTTCTGCTTCAGGCTGCTTTTCCTCTGCTTGTCTCCCCGAGGCAGTATTCCTGGCTCTTCTTCCTTTCGAGGGGAGTTGTGGGCATTGGGGTTGCCAGTTACTCCACCATCGCTCCCACTATCATCGGGGACCTCTTTGTGAAGGACCAGAGGACCTGGATGCTGTCGGTGTTCTACATCTTCATCCCAGTTGGAAGGTGGGTGGGGCTGTGGGCCTGTTTTTCAGGGGTGGGGAGATAGACTGAGGCCTAAGGCAGCCCTATTGCTTTGCCATTTGTCTGGAGAGTTTTGTGGACGATGCAGTTTAACCAGCATGTATCAGTCACCTAGCTCGGGCAAGGCCTTGTGGCGAAGTGGTTAGGGTGGGCCGGGCTCTGAGTCAGGAAGGCTTCCATCTGACAGCCTGGGGGGCCCACTAACTTGCCTTAGCCTCTCAGGCCCCCGAGTCTTTCCAAGGTAACACATGACAGAGAAGGCAGGAGTCTGCTTGGGTGGAGGGTGGGTGGGAAACGTTCCCCTGCACTAGTGAAACCAGGGATCTGGACCTGGATAAAAAGTGTGAAGGGCTCCGAGCTTGAGGCCAGAGAGATAACAGCAAAGAGTTTTTCTCTGCGGGGCCTCTCCTTTCTTGGGGTGCACCTGAATGGAAATAAATGCGCACAGGACAGTTCGAGGGAGGAGAGAGAATTAGCATCTAGGGTCATCAGGGAGGGCTTCCCGTGGGAGGTGGCATGTGACCATGCCTGGAAGGAAACGGGATTCTCTGAGGCTGATGCGGGAGAGCACCCCGGTGGGGGGGGCAGGGCATCAGATGCCCAATTGAAGACATGCTCCCAACCCGTTTCTGCGGAGGCCAGTGGGCAGTGCCCATTTGGGGCTGACTCCGGGGTCTTGGGGGGAGAGGGTGTGGCCTTGCTCACAGATGTCTAGCTCTCCTGCCACTTCTAGATTCTCATCCGTGCTCACCTGAGGCTTCTCTCTTTGCAGTGGCCTGGGTTACGTCCTCGGGTCTGCTGTGACCAAAGCCACAGGGGACTGGCATTGGGCTTTCAGGGTAAGGCTCGGCTCCCCACCCCCACGTTCCCTTTCTTCCTTCGCTGCTGATGCTGGGAGTTTCAGAGCCTGCAAAGGAGGGGTTCGGAATCCTGGGAGCTCCGGGGCTGTACTCCAGCCCAGACCTGGACAGATGTCCCTTCTGAAGGCCTCCAGGGATGGGGAGCGGGGACAGTTCCACCCACTTTATTTGGGCTCGGAAGAAAGCCCAGGGGAGGGGGAGGAAGGGGAGGAGGGACCAGCTGCCAGTGACAGCAGCTGGATGTTGGGGAGCAGTGGCTCACTGGGTCTGGTGACCGGGTTTAACGGACCTCGAGTCCAAGGCCGAAGAGCAGCCAGGGGCCCAGGAGGCCGGAGAGCAGAGAGGGGCTGCTGGGACCTGGGCTCTTGGCTGTCTGCAGATCATGCCCTGCCTGGAAGCCGTGGCTTTGGCACTGCTGGTCTTGCTGGTTCCAGACCCCCCCCGGGGAGGCGCGGAAGAGCAGAGTGAGGCTGGTGGCCCCAGGACCAGCTGGTGTGAGGACGTCAGCTATTTGGGGAAGAAGTGAGTGCCGGGCGTGGTGCGCCGCCCTTCCTAGCCCGTGCTTGGTCCTTGGCAGCCAAGAGAGCCGCCAGGGACAGGGGGGAAGAAGCCTGGTCTAGGGGCAGCTAGGCGGTGCAGTGCATAGAGCTCTGGCCCTGGAGTCAGGAGGTCCTGAATTCAAATGCAGCCTCAGACACTTGACACTTACTAGCTGTGTGACCCTGGGCAAGTCATTTAACCCCTGATTGCCTCACCAAAAAAAGAAAACAAACAAACAAGCAAAAAAGAAGTCGGGTCTAGAATCAAGGCTTGGTGAGGTGCCTGAGTGTTACTCTCTGGGTCTCAGTTTACTCATCTGTGAAATGGGGGGGAGGTTAGACTCAGCCTCTGAGGCATCCTCTAACTTTAGGATGCTAAGAAAGGCTACTTTAAGGGGAGCCCAACCCCATGAAGTTCCACCAGCTGCACTCCAAAGAATTGCATCCTCATAGGGGAGCCCAAGCATCAGACAGGGCCTCCAGGGAGAGCCTCTGTGGCAGGGGCAGGCTAGCGGGGGTTGGGGGGGGGAGTCTGCAGAGAGGAGATGGTGGGCTCATCTGGATGAGGCGCCCAACTGACCGCCCCAGGACCCTCCTGGCTCTGGGACCTCACTAGGTCCAGGGTTTTTTGAGAACGTGTTGTGCAGATTCAGAAACTCAAGCCACGTGGCTAGAGGGAGGGAAAGTGAGTCACAAATGCTGAAAAGTGTCATCTGGGCCTGGCCGAGGAGAAGCAGGCCAGATGGGGCCCTGGAGCTGGGCAGGGAGCCCACCAGGGGGCGCTGTGGAGCCACTAGAACTCCAGGCCAATGCTTAGGGCTTGGGAGTGTGTCCTGATTTTCAGCTTTGAGTGTCAAGGGATGGGGGTCAAGGATGAGGCCGAGAACTTGCACCCAGAGCCCCAGCAGGCTACCTCCCCCTCTTGTCACAGCCCCAGTTCATCTGTGAAATGAAGGGAAGGAGCCCTTGGAGCTCAGGAGCAAACCAGACAATGGCTGGAATGCCTTGGCTGGGGGTGGGAAGGGCAGTTCTGTCTACGTCGCATTGCCAATCCAGACCATGCTTCATCCTGACTCTAAAGAAGCCATTGAACCTTGGGATCGCTGAGGGGCATAGTAGTCCATACAGCGCCAGGCCTGGAGTCAACAGGACCTGAGTTCAAATCTGTCCTCAGACACTTACCAGCTGTGTGTGACCCTGGGCAAGTCACTTAACCCTGATTGCCTCCCTGAAAAGATAAAATAAAGGAGCCACTGGAGGTCACTGAGTAGGAGAGTGGCTGTCCAATCTGGGTCCATCCCAGCCTTTCCAGCCTGCTCTGGGAGATGAGGGGTGGGAGAACTGGTACCTGGAACGGGGGCCCTCCCCCACTCCTAGGCCCTCTCTGCCTCTGGGAGCACAGATGCCCTCCCTGCCAATGGTACAGACTCGTGGCTCTGTTGTCAGGCAGAGGCGGCCTGCAGGGCTGCACCCCAAGACTCCAGCCCCTCCTCTTTCAGTCTCCTGCCTTCTCCTGTGCTGGGGGGAAGGGCTCAGCTGGACCTTGAATGACTATGGACAGGTCGGCTTCCCTTCTTCAGCCTCCTACCTCATCTGTAAAATGGGCTAGTAGTGGTGGTTGGTGCAGGGCTGCAGAGGTGCGTCTGCCCACCTGCGCTGTTCTTAGGGCAGCCTCTGACCTCCCCCACTGTCTCTACAGCTTGAGTTTTGTGTGGTCGACTCTGGGAGTCACAGCCATGGCCTTTGTGACAGGAGCCCTGGGCTTCTGGGCCCCGAAGTTCCTCTACCAGACCCGAGTACTTCATGGCCTGCAGCCTCCTTGCCCCCAGGAGCCGAGTGATTCCTCTGACAGGTGAGGGGCCAGGCCAGGGCTTCCAGAAGAGCAGCGTGGGGTGGGGGCAGAGGCAGGAGGAGGCTGGGGACTTGGAAGGGAGAATACCTCCCTGAAGGGTCTGCCCCTGGGTAAGTGAGGCTTTTAATTAATTTCTCTGACCCTTTGGGAATCTTGAAATATCAGGGGAATGCAGCAATTCAGCCTCACCCCTTCTTACATATGAAGAAAGTGAGGTTCTGGGGAGAGAAGGGAAGGGGCTTGTTGGAGTCTGGGGTCTACGTGGGGGAAGTCTGCCTTGTGCCTCACTGGGCATCCATCTGGGCCCCCTCCTCCTCTCCCCTGAAACTTATTATAAAGTATTTAAGCATATGGAGCTGGGGTCTCCAGAGCGCCAGTTAGCCAGGCAAGTCCTGGAAAATCACAGAAATCTGGTGAATTCTGGACAGACGCATCCTGCCAAATGCTTGGACAGACGCTTGGGTCCCTCGGGCCTCGCATGATGGGACCTGCCTGGTGAGGGCATCTGGCAGACCCAGACTCAGTCCCAGAGAAATCTTCCTGAGGCCACTTGAGTGCCTTGGGTGGGTGGGTGGGGCAGTGCTCATAATGAACTGAGTTTGGGGGCAAGGAGCTCTGAGTGTGCAGGCAGAGGCCTGGCATGGGATTCCAGGCTCCACTCCTTTATTGCCTCTATGCCCTTGGGTAAATCCCCGCCCCCTCTGGGTCCTCAGTTTCTCCATCTGTAAATGGGGGTGGGGCTGAGGCCCTTCTGGCTTAAAATCCTGGGTTCTCTGGACCTGAGTTTTCTCATCTATAAAATGGGGGCAGCATGTGAGAGGTTCCTGGAGACACCCAATTGGGGGCAGGGGGAAAACGTGCCATGGGCAGACCCCCACCCAGGAATGGCAGCCTCCACCATGGAGGAGGTAGAGCCTGGGGCCAGCAAAGAGCCCTGGGGTCTGGTCTGCTCATTGAGATGCATTTCTTTAAAATCATGGCAGAGATAATTCAATCCAGCAAACATTAATCGGCAATTCAGCAATGTTCTTTGGGAGGCAGCATTGGAAAGAAATAGAGTCAGAGGCCCTGGGTTCAAATCCCCTCTGTGACACCCGCTTGTGACAACCCTTTGTGCCTCAGTTTCCTCATCTGAAAAATGAGGGCTTGATCTAGTCAAGCTTTGAGGCCCCTTCCTGCTCTAAATGGAGGATCCCTTCACCTGGTCTGGAGTGGCCACATCCTCCCCGAGCTGCCCTGGGGACACAAACAGGCAAAAGGGCCCAGGCCTTGCTCTAGGACTCACAATCTACTGGACACACTGGTCCTCCACTGGTGCTGATTGCAGCCTCTTTATGAGGCGGGAGAAGGTTTCTGGCAGCTGCTCTAGCTCCAGACTCCATGTTTATGGGCAGCCTCTATGAGCCCTGTGATAGATGAACCTCTAGGGATCAGTGACCACTGCTGCGGTCAGACTGGCCAGGCCCTTTGAGAGGCTGTGTTTGGCCCCTGCCACCACTTGTGGTGTAGACAATCCAGCCAGAGTCCTGGCTTCCCTGACCATGAACTGACCTTGAGTGTTGAATCCCACTCTGGGTTGGTTCAATCTTGGCTTCACCTAACTCTGCTATCAGCTGGCCTGCTCTTTAGTGGGCTGAGATATCTGAAGAGACTTTGCACAATGCCTCATGGACCCTGGGACACACAACCTGGCCAGCGAGCCTCAGTTTATCTGCCTCATCAGCCTGTCTCCACTTCCCACCTCCCACCTCCGGGAAGGTGAGCTTACTGGGCTCTTGTGGGCCCTGTGCTGGCTTCCGATGACAGCTCCTTTCTGTTCCAACTGCTTCATTCACAGGAGCACTTGCTGCATTCTGTGGGGAGAACCACCCCGAGCTTCCTGGATAGCAGTTCGAGCCTCCACTTCCTCCCTCTTCCCCCTGGCATTCAGTTGCCCATCAGTCTTCTGCAGCCTCTGCCTTTTTTCCAAGATGGCGCATGGGGACTCCCCAACCTTATCCGTCAGGGCCTTCGCTTGCTCTAGAGCCCTGAAAACATTTCTTCTTTTTACCCAGCATTTAGAGAGTACTTTACAGTTGGAAGAAAGTTTTACAGAGATAATCTTATTGGATTCTCCCAATAACCTTGTATGTAGGTGCTATTATGATCCCCATTTTGCGAAGGAGAAAACAGGTGCAGCCAGAGGTAAAATGACTTATCCAGGGTCACGTAGCCAGGAAGTGTCACTTGTAGAGGAAGCTTGGCTCTCCCTGCCTGGCCCAGGCTGGAAGCTCAGCGGTCACTTCCAGGACTGCCCCCCCCTCACTGATTGGCCCAGCTTTGAGCATCTTTCTTCCTAACCTGCAGTTTTGCCCCCCTCGTGGCCCCCTGCTCCTGGGGGCTCATGATGTTGGTGCCAGGCTTGCTGCTGGTACCTTCATCCTGCTTGCGGCTCACTGACCCACCAGGTTCTGCCTTCCTGGGAACAGGATCACAAGGACAGGGGGGCCCACACCCCTCAGTGGGGGGCATTTCCTGTCCCATCTCTCCATCGCCTGTTTGCTGCTTTCGGTCATAAAATAAACACAGGCATGGGATCACTTTAAAGAAATTCAGCGATGGCTTTTTATGAAATTTACTTTCCTCTCTAGGCCCCAGTCACTGCAATGTGATCCCTTCCTTCTTTCTGTGAGACAAGTGAGCAGACAGCAGCTTCCTGCGCCTCCTTCCTCCACGTCTGTCCGCATCTGCACGCTAGTAGGGCTCTGGCTCTCTCTTTTATGGGGATGTAACCCTCCTACAGTTGTTTTCAGTTGTGTTTGACTCTTCATGACCCCATCTGGGGTTTTCTTGGCGAAGATACTGGAGAGGTTTAACCATGTTCTTCTCTAGCCCATCTTACAGATGAGGAAACTGAGGGTCACCCAGCTAGGAAGTGTCTGAGGCCAGATTGGAACTCAGGGAGTCTTCCAGACTCCAGGTCTGGTGCTCCGTGCACTATAACGCCCCCTAGCTGCCTCCTCTCCATACTCATGGTTCCCAGATCTACTCAGCCAGCCCTAGCCTCTGCTAATTTCTGGTCTTGAATCTCTGACTGCCTTTCAGACATCTCAAACTGGATGTCCAGTAGACGTCTTAAACTCAGCACATCCAGAATTGAGCTCATTACCTTCCCCACCCCATCCCTCCCTTCTTCCAAATTTCCCTATTACTTTCAAGGGCACCATCCTCCTTCCTGTCCCCCAGGCTCCCAACCCAGGTGCCATCCTCAGTCACTCACTCTCACCCTCAGCTCCAGTCTGTGGTCAAGGCCCACCTAGTTACTTTGGAAACATCTCTCCCCCACCCCTCCTTCTCTCCTCTGACCCTGCCCCCACCCTGGGGCAGACCCTCCTCCCCTCACACCTGGACCATAGCAGTGGCTGCTGGGGGGGCTGTGCTTGCCTCAGGTCCCTTCCCCCTTCACTCAGCCACTCTTCCTAAAGCTGACCATGTGAGCCCCCTACTCAGGCCACTGTGGGGGCTCCCTCTCACCTCCAAGATCCTCTGCTTGGCATTCACAGACACCTGGCCCCCTCCTCCCCCCCAGTCTCCTTACACCTGTCTTGCCAGTGGACTCCAGTGACTCTGGAGGAGAGAGTGAGGCTAGTGCCTGGCACAGCTCTGCCTCACTTAAATCCAGTTCACTGGAAAGTCAAGACATCACCCTCCTGACGTCATTGTTTCCCTTCGAGCCCCAAGGCTGAACAGCAAACAACCCTTCCTTCTGCCTTCTGTGCATGTCTCCTAGGCAGCGAAGTTAATCAGAGATCTGCCGCAGCGGCCACTCCTTTGGGGCCCCTCTGGTCCCCTGGTCACAGGCTCCGACCCTCCAGACTTCAGCTTCTGCAGGGAAGTGACAGCCATCCCCTTTGGTGCTTGCGGCAGATTGCTTTTCTTCTCCCGCTATGTCTGTTGCTCTACAGACCTGTCAGGACATACACGTGCTCTCTGACCTTTCTGCTGAAGGGACTGGACATTCCTTTGATGCTCCTGTCTTCTCTGGCACTGGGGAAAGGGTGAGGGTAGAAACCAGCCCCTGGGCATGGGAAGAGAGATGCTGAGATGGCAGAGGGACTTTGTCACTGCAGAAAACAGGCTTTCATGTGTCAGAAAGAACCTCTAGTAGTGTGAATATTTAGTCATTTAGTGTGTGCTTGGGAGCTCTGGTGGTTTGTGGATTGAAAAGGGAACAGAAGGAGAGAGGCTGTGTATGGGGGAGAAGAGACTCGGTTCAGGGGAAGAGGGAGGGGGGAGAAAAGAAGAGGGAAAGGGAGAAAGAGAGAGAAGGAGAGAGGACAGATGGAGGGACAGAGATATGAAGAGACAGAAAGAAGAGAAAGGAAGAGAGAAAGAGAAGGGGGGATGGAGGAAGAGAGGAGGGAGAAAAAGAGGAGAGATGACAGATTGAGAGAGGAGAGACAGAAAGAGAGAGAGAAGAGAGAGAGAAAGAGAGAGAGAAGAGAGAGAGAGAGAAAATAGAGAGAGAGAGAGAGACTCTGGTAGAGTCTCAGAGCTGAAGACAAAAGGATCAGTGAGATGGTGGGGATGAAGGCTGGCATGTGAGAGAGAGCGTCGGGGGGGGGACTCCCTAATCCATGCTGATGTCCCAGTATTGGGAGGCCACAAGGAGCAAGCCTGACCAAAAGGCAGTGGAATGGTCCCATAGTCAGCAGAGACCAGTCCTAGAGAGAGAGGGCTGACATGGAGCAGCTGTGTGATCCTGAGGAATCACCGTACATCTCTAGATGAAAGTGCCCCCTCTCCAAGTAGGGACAACACCAGCTCTATATAACATCTGCCTGGGGGTGTGGGGGGCTGGGTGGACCCATCAAGGAGAGGTGTGGAGAGGGCTCTGGATGGCTTTAGGGGCTCTGTCAGGCAGAGCTGTCCTTATCCTGACTGTGTCATGATGATACCTGCTGGCAAGTATGCTCCAGACTGGTGGGGGGTGGGGTGGGAGGGAGCCTGGGTGGGTGCTG